ATCTTGTCCTGCAAGACCTGGACATGAGCAAGGAAGAAGCAAAAAACCTGCGAACCACGATAGCCGGCTCTTTGGAGGAACGGCGGCAGTTGGTTGCCGAAATCAACACCAAAGAAGAGCAAATCCGGCAAATGAGCCAGGCTATCGAAGACTTGGAGGGGCAAATAGAACAACAGCAGGAAATAATTAATAACCAGACTCGTCCCGAAGAGGAAAGGGAGGCTGCCCAAAGGGAAGTAGAAACCCTTCAGGTACGCCTTGCGGAATTACGAGCGCAAAAGGACAACCTGGAAAATGAGTTGGGGCTTACCACCAAGGAAAAGGTAAAAAGAGCCCTGATGAAGTATGGTCTTCCCCTTACGTTTGCGGTTGCTGTTTCAAGCGTACTGGGATATATCCTATATGCGCTTAAGGCTACGAGTAGGGGCTTAAGCAAGGTAGGCAAAGGACTGACGAACTTAGGAAAAAAGATGGCGGCCGGTTTGCCGGGGCTGTTGGGTTCTGTCGTTTCCTTGGCACTTAGGGCCGGCGGCGAACTGTTGAAGTTCGTGAGGAATAACATTTGGATATTAGTTGTCGCTATTGGGATGGTCCTTCTTAAGAAGATCAGATGATTTCTTGTCCTCGTGTATTACTGGGGGTTTGGGATCATTATCACGTCCTCTGCTCGTCTTTGGCTTGGGATGGACGGTGTTAGCCCCTGGTTGATAATATGGTGTTAAGGGTATAGCAGTAATCGTGCTAATGGGCTTATGATTCCAAGTAGCATCTGCAGCAGAATCGTGCGTAGAATAAGCAACATTCATTCCAACGAAGCCGGCATACTTAGAACGATTTACGTTAAGAGCATCACTGGGACGAACTTGAAGCTTTGCATATTGACAATTAGCTGTTATGTGAAAAGTTACCGACGTTAGGTTTTCCGCGCTTTTTGACGGGGGCTCCAACGAGAAATGAGCCGAATGCCTGGTATTATCTTTTCTCTGTAAGGTAGTAATGGGTTGTTGGCCTCATCAACTAGCCTAAACCCAACATTGCAGCTATTCCACCCACTAATGCTAATGGTATTTTTCTCTAATCCCAAACCACCAACTTCTGCCCACAGTTCGGTATCATACCATTTATTCCCATAGTGGTTCTTTTCCTCTAAGTAATGAAAAAACCAATCCTCCTTTACGTGTGGGTTCATATACTTATTACCGTCAACGTGCTAATGGTCTTGTGATTATAGGTTGTATCTCTTTGATTTTCTATGCTATTTATCGTGACCTTTCCCGTATCGTCTACTCTTATTTGCAGCCTTACCTTCCCATGGCAATCGGCGACCATGTGGAAAGTCCAAACCGAGAGATTTTCAACGCTGCCGGGGTTCGGCTCTACAGAGAAATGCGTAGGCTCCCTGTTGTTTGTCTTCGCACGCATAGGCTGCGGTATGCCATTCTCATCTAAGAATCTAAAGCCCACGTTGGCGTGACTATCCGTGCCAATGCAAATGCTGCATATTATCAGCTTCTTCCCAGAGTAGTTCAGGTCTACGGACATCCCGGTCACATCAACCCAAGATGCCTGGTCGTATTTTTTCTCGCCTGTGTAAGTCGTATAGACACAATCTACTCCAGCTACGTAGGGGTTGTCCATATATTACAAAGCATAAAGATCCATTAGCTTAATACTGCCTCTGATATCTTTCATCTTAAGTGTACGACCATTGAGCTCTATCATCATCGAATAATTATAATAAGGGGCAAATCTAAACCATATGCCTTGAGGTAATACCCCTGGAACTGCTATTCTCCATAAGCTCGGCCTCCTGTCTAACGCAAATATCAGTATATAAAACAAATAGTGGCTCGTATCAAAATCGCTAGCCAACTGTACCGTATTAGTATTACCGCTACCATAAGGAATACCTCCAAACCTCCAGTGTTCCCGCTTTCGCGCGGTTAGTGATACCGCGGAACCGGCTGGTCCTTGAGGTCCCGTAGCTCCTACTGGACCCTGAGGACCCTGCGGTCCTTGAGGTCCCCGTTCTTTTTCATTTCCCAATTCATGTGGGTTGCTTATGTCCATATGTAATAGCTCAGACCAATACTTGCAGCTGCTATACCTGCGTTTAGTAGGTTGTGGTCATATTCCTCGGGTATGGTTGGCAGGGCGCGTTTTGATTTCTTTATGGGTGGTTTCTTCACATGTACTTTCTTTGCCTTCTCTACGAAGTGAGGTATGCTCTTAATCGTCGTAGAGTTAATGTCATTAACACCAAACTTCATGTCTTCGGTTGCTCGCTGCAGCTTGTTGTTGTACCCCACGACGGAATGTGTGTTTATTACTAAGTTGCTTGGCATTAACCAACAACCTGGTGATAGGGCGTAATCTAACCGCGCCTTTGACACTGCAAGCTGATATCTTTGCACTGATTTAGAGATGTCGTTCTCTATTATCGCTGACTCAAACAGGGTTAGAAATTCCTGCTGCGTCTCTTGCGAGGCACCATGCGAACCAACAATGGGGCTGCGGGTATTTACCTGTGCTCCTAAGATGCAGTAGACGAATGCTTCGATGCTGCGGTTGATGCGGGCGAGGTTCTTCAGACCTATGCCTTCTGCAGCAAAGAACGGCGCCCAGGGGTATTTCTGCAGGCTTGCTATGAAATAGATTAACGTTCCCTTCGACCCATCGCCTCCTAAGTCTGAGAATTCGTAGTCGCTGGGGTATCCCATGCCCGGCGTCTCGATGCTAGCACCTCCGGCATACATGTAAGTTTCTCCTAAACCATCTGCTGCGCCTTCTTTGTTACGGAAGTCGGGGTCGGAGAGCTTGAACTCATTCCTTAGACGTTCCCACGCGACCTTGTTGTATTTGTTGTCCTTTGCGTTAAAGATGCTGTCGCCTGGTAAAGGCGCACCAAGCTCCTTCAATATGCGTCGGATGGTAAAGGCGACGTGGAACCGTAAGAAGGGTATATGGAACATATCCACTGCTATACCACATCCTTTGGTAGCAGCCCAGACTCCGAAGTTCAACTGCTGCGACCAATAGCGCATATTGGGGCCTGCTAACCATTCTCTTGATTCTTTACCTGTTCTATGTTTTATCTTGGTCTCTTTGAAGATATCACGGACTCTTGTCTTGAATGTCGTAGGACCTACAGGAATCTCTAAAGAGGTGACCATTGCCGCAAAGTCATCAGCTCCGCCTTTGTTGTTATAAGTAGGGTAATCCTTGGTGGTTAGTATCAGATTCGTTGGGAAATGAGGTTCGAAATGTACTTCCTTCTTAGCAACAGGCTTCGTAGGACTCAGATCCTCATTGCTGTACATCCTGGAGCCTTTGTAATAAATACCATCGGGTCTGCGCTCGAACTTGTTGTGGTCTGCGTTAGGAAACATCTTACGGAATGCTCTCCAATTCGCGTAGTCGCGATTGTTATGTGTAGGGGTCTCTTGAATGTCATTCCCAAAAGCGTCGTACATTAGTATATAATAGGCGTAATACCATCAGCTCCTAAGTTGTATCCCGACGTTGGTTACCATACCACTACGAAAGACACAGGTCCTAATGAATTGAATGCTGACAACTTTCGTTTAAACAAGGCTAACTTAATTCTGGCTTACTTAGAAGGACAAACGAAGCATTATGAAGAAGTTAGGAAGAAGTACGCTCGAGCCCGTAGCACTTTCCATAAGATTGCGATAACGTCGGGGTCTATGTCTGTTGCTTTAACAGGTAGCGGCGTTGCTACATCATTAACGCGCCCCGGAGTAATCGTAGGCGTTCCTTTAGCCGGCGTTGGAGCTGTCTACGGTATTATCTCCGCCATTACCACCGGCATTATGAAACAGTTGTCTAATAAGATATCGAAGCATGACACAACCATAGCCCTTTCCAGGGCAAAAGCTAACACCATTTCTGATCTCGTTTCCAAGGCTTTAAGAGACCGTAAAATAGACGACGTTGAGTTTTCGTTAATTCTGGCTGAGGAGAAGAAGTACGAGGAATTGAAGTCGGGTAACAAAAAAACAATCATAAGGGATCTCTCCGAGGAATCTCGAAAGAAGATCTACCAAGAAGCAAAGGAAGACCTACAAAGAAAGCTCGCTCAATAAACATTCACTTTGAATTCACGTCAACGTCTGGGTATCCATGCTAACAGTGGATGATTGGGGTCAATCTCTTGGAATATCTCGTAGATTGCGTCAGGATAGTAGGGGATCTCCTTATCCATCCTACCAAACATCCACTCAGCTCTGCTCATGTCGTGAACCACCGGAATAGGCTTACCGATAATCTCAGACAAAATATAGGGTATACCTTTGTAATATCTTCCTAGCTTCAACTTCTTTAGCGTCTCCCTTAGGCTTCGTGTTGTTGGTTCTTTTAGGTCAAACGCAATCAATTCCATTACTTCGTTATCAAGGTACACGGGGCGATGGCCTTGGATATGGCTCATCCAGTCCCTAAAGTACTTTATCCTCTTGTATGGAGTCTTCTTACGACCTCCGTTGGCGTAATATTGCTCCTTAGTAGCATTTGGCACAGCGTTTGTGATATTCCTACCACATTCGTAACACTGTGCTGACGTATCCTCCTCTATTCGCATCTTCTTACCACAGCAAATATACTTATTTGGCTTACTAGGTACAAACTTGGGTTTCAAGCATCTTATACAGAAGTCATAGACGAACTCTTTACAATCTTCGCACTCCATATATAGACTAACATATTTAAACACATTTCGCTGGGATGCGGGTAATCCTGTACTTAATCGGGTAGTCACTTTACGCGGGTGATCCTCGGTTGGTCACTGTTTTGGAACCCCCATCCCCTATACTACTGGGAATCCAAAAATAGTCCGCTGAGATAACGGCCCTCAGTACGACAGTGTAGCATTCCAAGAATTTGCCAACGAATATGGTTTCCACCACGAAACCAGTTCTCCACACTACCCACAAGGGAATGGATTCATAGAAGATCAAGTTAAAACAGTCAAAGGTGTTCTCATGAAGACCCTCGAGAAACGACAGGATCCAAGTATGGCACTGCTTTGTCTACGCACCACACCCATTGACAATAAACTTTCATCGCCGTCAGAGTTGCTTTTCGGAAGAAAGCTGCAAGATAACCTACCCCGCACYATCAACAGGAGTGCCAACAGTGATCAAATAACCGACCGGCTAAGGGAGAAACAAGAAATCCAAAGGTTCTACCACGAYCGTAATGTCAGACCTCTACCCGAGCTAGCAAGAGGTACCAACATCACCRTTCAGAATCCCTCGACCAAGAAGTGGGAGCCTGCAGTCGTCAAGGAAAAGCTTGAAGCACCACGCTCATACTTAGTGACGTCACAAACCGGAAGTGAGCTTCGACGCAACAGATGTCACATCAGAGAAGCACCCCCAGCGGCAGAGCAACCCACCAGTGAATATCAAGAACCAACAGAGACCAGAGGCAATGCAGAACCTCTGGAAAACAACGGAAGCCACGCACCTGGGACCACAGTTACCCGAAGTGGAAGAATCATAAGACCGCCCAACAGATACGTTTAAAGACAAAAGAAAAAAAAAAAAAAATTAGGCACTTGCAAGCATGAGCAAGTAGTATTACTGTTATTACATATGATATTTTTCTATTAAGATAATTTTAAGCGTTTCATAAATTTATTTATTTATTGTTAATGGAAAGGGGGCTGTAATAATATATAATTGTCACGCAACAGTAGGTTCTATTATGTAACAAATGTAATATGACTCTCTCTCTCTACACACGTTGTGTCAAGTTAAGCACCAGAATAAGTATACCGAATTATTCGTCATTAAAGCAAGCAATCATAATCAAAGCCTCCACTAAATATCATGACAGCCCGTAGGCTGGGGGGGGGGGGGGTTCGAACCCCATCCCACACACACACACACACACACACGCGGAAAAGGTCCGGTGTCCACCTGGTATTTTTACTAATAAAACAATACTGTAAAATTGCTTATTTGTAAGCAAAAAATTAATGCGTGTTGAACTGGTTAAATTCTCGCTTTAAATTTAATAAAATATTTTGCATAGTATGTGTTGAGTTTTCTGTGGAGCAGCAGACATAGTTGCGTCAGTCATTAAGAAATGCTCTCTAAGCATCTTTTTAATGATGCCTGCCAAGCACCTGTTTCCCCCCACGCTACGCATGCTCAGAGTCTTTCCGTAAGAATATCTTGTTCCAAACCGGTTGAACCAGGTTGAACCAGTCAGCTTTCCGTCATGTTAGCCAACTGTCAAGGCCGCCTCGAATCATAGTTATATTTAGCCTCCTTTGCAGGCGTCCTTTGGGCTATATTACGTTGGCAGTTGACCTCGTGGAGAAAGGGACCCCAAAGACGACGCTTAAAGCTTTGTCATTTTTTGTCTGAAGATATAACTAGCTAAAACCTAGTGTGAGCTGCGTCGGTGTTTCTAATGAAACAGTAATGATAAAAAGGTAAATTATACACCGTGAAAAGATGAAAAAACTTACTTACGTTTCGGACGCTAGTCCTTCGTCGGAGTAAAAGAGATATTTTTTGTCTGTTTATAAACTTCTGACGATTGTCCTCCGTTGGAGTAGAAAAAAAATATATATATACACTTGATTGCTTTGATTGATTGATTGATTGATTTGACAAAAAGGTTGTAGTATGCATTTATACATATACTTATTTCAATAAAGTTAGTCACCAAAAGCCTAGAAAGCTGAGATCACTGAGGATCATGGAGAACAATTCATTTCAAACAAGTAAAGCTCTTTTGATACAAACTGCAGCTTGAGGATGCTCAGGAGAGGTGAGACTGTTACTGGCAAGATGTGCAAGTCCATCAACAGTTATTAAATCGGTTGAAACATGTAAAATGTATCTACCCATAATCCTTGTCGGCCTCAGCTTTATAGCTTTTCTGGTGACTAACTTTATCGAAATAAGTATATATCTAATGAGATGCAAGATATCAAATGAGATGCAGAACGTAAGAAAAAACTTATTTATAATAATAATAATAACTTTATTTCACACATAATTCAGAAAGCTAACCACTTATTTACACTGAAGCTGTGCATAAGAGAAAAAAGCACAAATTTAAATTAGAAATGAAAAATTAATTAGTAACCACTAATAATACGAAAAGAAAATTCCTAAAAAGATCCCTAAAAAATTCTAAAAATTCTATAATTATTATTTTGTGTAAAAAATCTTTATATATATATATATATATATAATCTATGATTTGTGATGCATTAGTAATATATAATAAAATAATTAATTAATTATTTCCTTCTCGCCAATAATTAGTTGTAAAACTTCGAACAGATTTAGATAATTTGACGACATTACTTAAATCATTATATAATCTAGCAGCAGCGAAGGAAAATGATCGTTGACCAGATTTTGAAGATATCTTATGTAAATCCCGTCCACACTATGCATCTTAATTATATCTTAATATATATATATATATATATATTATCTATGATTTGTGATGTATTAGTAATATATAATAAAATAGATAATTAATTATTTATTTCTCGCCAATAATTAGTTGTAAAACTTCGAACAGATTTAGATAATTTGACGACATTACTTAAATCATTATATAATCTAGCAGCAGCGAAGAAAAATGATCGTTGACCAGATTTTGAAGATATCTTATGTAAATAAATGTCATTACGCCTTCTACTTGTTTATCATTTATTTATCTTTTTTTTATATATTTATCATTATTATTTAAGAATGTTCCCCAGCTGGAGAAGATGGTTCTCGAGGGACTTTTCTGGAGTGGCACACCTTTACTAGAATCAGTAGGAGAGAATGAACCCGAGGTGGTTCGACTAAGAGAAACAGTTCGTCAAGCCATAAGGTCATCTCTCAAACCTATTCGAGCTTATGCGAAACAATATGAGAAATATCTTGATCTGTTTAACTTGGACGTGAATGAATATCTACAGTAAGTATTGCAAAATGGGCGTTTTGTATTTCTGTGATACATCCATTATTTTGCTTTCTATAGCTATATACTGCAAGCTAAAAATTGTTTGTTAAAAATGTGAATTTTGTTAGTAACAATAAGAATATCATACTTAAATTTGTTTCAAAAAATTTTTTGCTCGAGATATTTGAGAAAATTAAGTACGTGCGCGCTAACTAATAGGGACCTTAAGCTGCAGGACGGCAACGACGACGACGACGGCAACCATACAATAGCACTAATTCAATAGATACTCGTTGGAATGTACGAAATAATATGCATCATTGCCGTCTTATGCTGAAAGTAAGACGTGAAATGTCCTATTTTCACGTACTAAAGAGAACGGCTACGCCAAATGCTTATCTTTGCTGATTTTCGTTATTAGTAAAGCGCTCCCAAAAGACGTCATTTCACTCTAAAACGGGGATGCTTATTGAGTAAAATACTAAGTAAACACGAAATAATAATACAATAGAAGGTTGAAGCGCCTCAATTTCGCCGACGTTGCCGTCCTGCAGCTTAAGGTCCCTAATGTCTCTCGTTGACGTCGCGACGTTCTGCACCAGACGTGGAACCAGGCAAAATGGCGTCCTGAATTAGGCGTCACGTTAGCGGCCGTTTTGAAAGCGTGCTCGCCGTCCTCTACCAGCTCGGTGTGGTGGTGTGGTGGTGGTTCTTTGGTGTGCTGATGATATCCTTAAGAGAATAATTTCCTTCCTCCCTAACTCGTTTCTCTCCGCTCTTAACGTATGTATTTAAAATAATATTGTTCCCAGACAATACGACTCACAAGAACATACAGCTGCAGAAGTGAAACAAGAGATAGAACGTCATTTAAAAGATAAAGAGGTGCTAGAAAACACCTTGCCTTCCAGCATAGTCATTGGTTCATACTGGGTCATGACTGAAGGAATCAAGAAAGAATTGGCTAAGAAACGAAAGACACTTGCTAATGCTGTTATTGAACTCCTGGCCAAGAAACTGAGGAAACAAGCTGATGAGGTAATTAAGGAGACTCGAATTGATTTTCTTAACACGCACGGTTGATGACGATAATGTTAGGATTTTTGGATCAAATTTTCATGTTTTTCAAAGCAAAAACTGTTCAATCAAATCTTTTTAATTTTGGATATGTTATTACACTTAGGTTTAAGGAGCTATTGTCGAAATATTAAAAAAAAATTGTAATGCGGAACTTTTATTATAGGTTTTTGCGTTATTTTCAGAATTCCTAATTACAGACATATTTCTCCATGCCCAATAGCTTTTTAAGCCTAAGAGGAAAAACTTATTCAAAATTAATAATATTTGACTGAACATTTTTTGTAGCAAAAAGCCATGAAAATCTGATTAAAAATATTATAACAATTTGTTAGCTATTATTTGTAGTTCGTCATGATTAGCCGTGCGCGTGCGCCTTCTGAAGAAAACCATTTCAAGCCTCCTTAAGTTGATAAATTATTAGACACCAGTGTCAACTTTTCTTCTAAGAAACGATATCTAGATACTGTTATCTGAAATCAGTGCCTATGACTCATATACCATATGTGACATTCCTTTGACATGGTTTTATACTCTGCACTGATATACAGGTCTGTGAAGAATTCAAGTTTATTGCACGTCGTCTTTACGACAAGCCAAACAGCATTGAGGAATTAGCAGAACAAAGAGAGTACATGAAGACTATCCCTGACCTGTTGAAAAAGAACCAAGAGCTGATTGACAAGGCTATGGTAGACTATGAGCTGATCGAGGAGTTCAACTACAGCATCTCAGCTGAAGACTTCTCTGCTAAGTATGTATAAATAAAATAAGATAAAAAATCTTGATTTTTTGTGGGTGTCAAATACAGCGTCAAGGGCTGGTTTCCAATTTGGGCCACTTTCACTCACATATGCTACCATGACATTCAATATTCTATGCACACAACGCTCAACTCACATGTTGATTGTGGAAGGAGGATGGCAGATAGCTAGTGTTTGCGAAAAACGCTTCTATAGAGCAGTTTTCGAATATGTGGGAAACATACGGTACTGACTTACAGGTACGAGGTACTACATACAAGGTACGAAATGCCGTAAACCCTGAAATGGCTTCCCATAGGTATGGTTATCGCATGAGCGGGAATTATAATGTGCGATAATGGAAATCTATTATGTTTTTATTCCCTTATAGATGGACGTGCATCAGCTGGCCATACAAGATTCAACAACAAATGGAAGCAACTGAGCAAACCCTCGAAGCAGACGAAGAACGCTTCCAGAAGAACCTTCTTGCTGATCAGAATAACTTCCAGGATCGTCTTGATTCCTTGAACATGGCCGTGGCAGGATTCGCCGCACACACAGATATCACTAAAGCACATGAGATAGGCAATGAGGTACGACGTCTGGTCAAACAGATGAAGGAATGCCAGACGTTAGCACATACGTATAACAACAGAGAAAGACTCTTTAACCTGCCTGTTACTTCGGTAAGATTCTAGATTCTTATAATAGACCCATTTCACGCTAGTCAGACATAAGATATTCGATTAATTGAAAAAAGGAGTTAACGACTTAATTCAAAGTTTCGTAGAGAGCGTTTTTGCAAAGAAATGTATGCTATGGGCATCGCATTCTCGGTGAACCTCGGGGCTATGGATTATGCCAGAGCCTTTGTTCTTCGCCGCAGACCATTAAAAAGCAGGCTCTGGGTACGAGATTGTCAATTTCCCCAACAAATGCTGCGCGCGCAATTTTTATTATCTTTTGTTTGAACAAGTTTAAATCAGTCTTAAGTAGTTCAGGTGGCGTTTTTGCGCGTACATAGTCATATATATCTTTTGATACTTTTAATTCATGAGGAGGCAAATCCAGACTGCGAGCGGTCCCACTTTTCTCTCCAAACTCAGTAAGGGCGAGGTTTTTGGGATTCCTGTGGACGCGCGTCCACAGGAATCCCAAAACACTGGTTTTTACTGAGCCTGAAGGGAAAAGGGGACTGCTTGTAGTCGAAGGCACATGTAGAGCAAAAGTTCAGCAATAAAATATAACAATCAAGGTGGAAGAATCGTATATTCATTTCAACTTTGAATCTGTTTCAGTACGAGAAACTAAATCGCTTGATCAAAGATTTTGAGCCGTTTAAGAACATGTGGCTGACAGCTTCAGACTGGCAGAAATGGCATGACAGCTGGATGAACGACCCACTAACGACCATAGACCCCGAACAGCTTGAACAGAATGTTAGCAACGCATTCAAGACAATCTTCAAGTGTTACAAACACTTTAAAGAGATCCCAGCTTGTCAGGAGGTTGCATATGAAGTCAAGGAAAAGATCGAAGCATTCAAGCCTTATATACCATTGATACAAGGTCTGAGGAACCCAGGAATGAGAAGTCGACATTGGGAACAGGTTGGTATCTTCGCCGAGAATCTCGTCTTTTTTCTGTGGTTTTCGTATTTCGTTCAAGACTAGCTGCTCAGTAAACTTTTGATCCACTGTATTGCTGGATTGCAAGCATTCCCAAGAGAGTCAAAAGACAAAAATATGGCAGCCATCTTGGTGCGGTTAACATTAGATGTTAATGAGAAATCATTAAAATAAAGTAAATGTGGTATGACTGTGAAAAAGCACAGTACACAGAACGGGATTGGTGACATCCTTTCAACCGGTCACAGTGCCACATGATGACTGTTTAGCCAATCAAACTGCTGGTACCTTACACCTACTTGATAGTATTTACCTCAGTGAAAGGCCATTTATTTATACTTACGACTCACTTCTGTTCTATTTTGTTTCTCCCATAGCTTTCAAAAGACCTTGGATTTCCTGTGGTGTGTAACGCCCAGCTGACCTTCACCAAATGTCTAGACATGGGCCTGCAGAACCATATTGATGTCATTGCTAAAATAGCTGAAGTTGCTGGGAAGGAATACTCCATCGAACAGGTTACACAACGATGCGCCCGAGCAGTGCATCCCACCTATGCCATCCATGCCATCCATGTCCTCCATGCTATCCATGCCACCCATTCTATCCATGCCACCCATGCCACCCATATTACCCATGCCACCCATGCTACCCATGCCATCCATGCTAACCATGCTAACCATTCCACCCATGCCACCCATGCTACCCATGCCACCCATGCTAACCATTCCACCCATGCCACCCATGCTACCCATGCTAACCATTCCACCCATGCTACCCATGCTAACCATTCCACCTATGCTACCCATGCCACCCATGCTAACCATTCTACCCATGCCACCCATGCTACCCATGCTAACCATTCCACCCATGCCACCCATACCACCCATGCTACCCATGCCACCTGTTTTACCCATGCTACCCATGCTAACCATTCCACCCTTGCTTCCCATGCCAACCAGTCATGCTTAACCATTCTTATTACTTCCCTAGGCACTGGATAAGATGGAGGGTGAGTGGAAGCCAGTTGTACTGGAGATTGTCCCATATAAAGACACAGGTACCTTCATTATGAAGGTTGGTGAAGAATGCTCACAGCTGCTGGACGATCACATCGTCATGACACAGAGCATGTCCTTCTCTCCATACAAGAAGCCTTTTGAAGAACGTATATCTACTTGGGAAAGCAAACTGGTTATGACCCAGGTGGGTACTTGTATCTACGATTAACCTGCGAAATAAAGGGTGCATTGAAAAGCACGTGTTTGCACTGTCCTCGTCTATAACCTGCTTCGTCTTTCGTTACTTATAATCCTGATAAGAGCAGTGCGCAACTAGAGCAGTTTTCGTATGACTGTGAAAAGCTCAGTGCCGTAAGCGTGACGTGCCGTGACCGTGATACTTTCTAGAATTTTAATTG